TGGGTGCGGCACGGCTGGGCTCCGCACAGACATGCTGGCGCACGGTGTGTGTGGAGGGCCGAATCATGCACTTCTGTTTTTAAATCCTCACCCGAAGATATTTTGTTAATTGATTTGAGAGAGAGAGAGGGGGAGGGAGGGAGAAACATCAATGTGAGAGAGAAACAGTTCTCTCCTACACACACCCTGACCAGGGACCTAACCCGCAACCCCGCGTGTACGAGATGATGCTCCAACCAACGGAGCCACCTGGCCAGGGCTACACTGAGCATTTTCACAGGGGTGAACTGTATGGTGTGTTAATTACAACTCAACTTAAAAATTAAGAAACATTAGATTGATAACAGTAATCATTCTCTTTTTTTAAATTAATACACTGGATTCAATTACACTAGAAGATCAATGAAGATGGTTTTTTAAGGCTTTGATAATATTAATCATAGCTGTTTTTCTATAAATTAAGAGAATCATATGGCCAAAGCAGAACATACTGGAAGTGATGCCACTAGAAACCCGTGATTTGAACATGCTAACAAGAGAGGAAGGAAAGGCCTTCTAAAAACTTGCATGCCTCTGTGTCCTCTCCAAAAGACCAACCGGCCCTCATGGATTCATTGATAAATTTTTCTAAACTTGCAAATAGGAAGTTCTCTACATATACAACCATGAAAATAAGAAACTCCTCCCAATGAGCTAGTAGAATTCTTCTCAACTAAACCATATATTACCTCACAGGCATTTATAAATTTAACCATCCACTCCTGATTAAATGCTTCCCATGAAGTATTTCAGACAAGGAAAGGAAGTCTTTTCTTTAACCACCTCCTGAAGTTCCCCAACACACCCAAACTCTTCCAGTTCTTACTGCCCAGGAGCCCCAGCCCAGCACCTACCCCGCCACCTCACCCCGGAAGGCCTCCTCTGTACTACTAGCGCACTCCTGAGCTAGCTGCTTCTTAGCAAATCTGATCACATCCGGTCTATGCTCAAAACATTCCTGCAGCCCCCACTGCTTACATAAAGAAGTCCAGCCCTGGCTGATGTAGCTCAGTGGATTGAGCACAGCCTGCGAACCAAAGGGTCACCGGTTCAATTCTCAGTCAGGGCACATGCCTGGGTTGTAGGCCAGGTCCCCAGTGGGGGCCACATGAGAGGCAACCACACATTGATGTTTCTCTCCCTCTCTTTCTCCCTCCCTTCCCCTCTCTCTAAAAATATATAAATAATTTTTTTAAAAAATTAACAAGAAGAAGAAGAAGAAGAAATCGTCATTAAAGTCCAAACCACTTAAAATTAGACACAAGACTCCTTCCTCAGCTGGCTCATCCTGCCTGTCCTCAGGAAGCCATCCCAGCACACTCACAACTTACATGGAGTTACTCACAGGCCTTACTGTACCATCGCCCAGAACCACCTGGTAAACTATCTGCCCCTCAACACCTGGCTGACACACCACTGTGAAGCTACAGTAATCACACTAACCACTCCTTCCACCAAACACACTTGTATCCATCGAGGAGATACATCAACCCTCAAACATCTCATCTAAGGTTAAATCTCAAACTGTAGACCCAGCCTAGGCCCCCGCCATCACTAACCTGCCACCGACCATATAGCCACACAGTCCAAACAGCCTTCATCTCAACCAAGGGCCTCTTGGAAACCAAAGCAACTGGCAGGAGGCTCTGTCTAGCTGCTACCATCCTCCGCCTCCCCTCCCCACTGAAATACATGCAAGCCACTTCAGGTCCCACTGTTCATGAATGAGGAAACTTTCAGTGTTGGGGAATATATGCTCCTTACCACCATTTTTTTAAAAGTGAGCCCAGAAAACAGAAAGCAGCAAAGGGTATTCTGATCTTCAAATCCAGCACTGGGATGAACAGCAGCAGGCCCACCCTCATTCCTAAGAGAGGTCCATCCCTCTGTCTCTCTATCTGTCCTGCGCTAGGTCTGCCCAGCCACTCAGCCTGCCCTGGATCCTGGGAAGGCCAGAGGCATCCATCCTTCCCAGGGGGAATCCCTGTCTAGATGCAATCTGATTCATGCTTTCCACCTTAATGAAAGATCAGGGAGAGATTGGGGATTGCAGGAAGGAAAACCCTCAGGAGCTGGCAGACAGTGAAAATGAAAAAGGGTACACTATCCATGGAACACTGAGGCCCTTTCTCTTGCCAAAAAAGAGAGGCACCAGGGAACGTGTAAAAAAGTGCCAGCTCTCCTGTGTTAGTGTGGAACCAAACACCTCGTTGTCTCGAAGCCCCTTCTCCCTACGGGCCATGCCTACACCCACCTGATCAGGGTCTGACTTCACAACGGCCAGGTGCATTTCCCTACAACTGCACACTAACGACAGCAGAGCGAGTGCCCAGTGGCTGGCTCCATCGCCCCGGAGTCCCAACTTATAACCCAGGCAAACAGACTGGGGTGGCTCCACATGCCTCTGTCTCAAAGAGATTTGGTCACCCTGAATCCTGAACCCTTCCCACCTTGTCTGCTCCACTCCATGGATCCCAAATCCACGAGTCAAGCAAAAACAGTTCTTACTAAAGAAGAATAAGCAAATGAAACTCATAATACCATGCCTACCACGTGACAAAAGGCTGCATTCCAAGACTCCTCAGAGACAGGGATGAGGGCTGCTTGATGCAGAGGGTACTTGTTTATTTTGTCTTAATGTCACTTATATTTTTAAAACAGAAAATATATTCACAAGGAAGAAAATGTAAAAGCCTCAAAAGTGAAAAATTTCCTTTCTAGTCCTATCCCTAGCCACACTGTCCTTCCTAAAAGCCAGCCAATATTATACATTTTTCTGTAGTTTTACAAAGATATACCACCTATACATGTATAAGCAGAAACCGATATGTTCATTTTCCCTTTGTTTCGTATTTAGTAGAATATTATACACTGTTTTATGTTTTATACTTTTCACAACAATATATACTAGAGATTACTTCAAATAAGCACCTAAAGAACCTCCTCATTTTTACAGCTGCATACTATTCCTTTGTGAAGATTAACAAAAATGTATTTAATTAATGTTCAGGGTTACTTACAGTGCCATCCAATAACAGATGATAATCATTTTTGTATAATAAGCCTATAAAAGCCTCTTTCCTGTCTTACCAAAGTGTGCAAAAGTTCAAAAAGTACATTTAGAGCAAGAGAAAGATTAAGAATCAGCTTCCCCTTGCCCTGGCCTGGTGACTCGGTTGGCTGGAATGTCATCCCATACACCACAAGGTTCCGGGTTGGATTCCTGGTCAGGGCACATACCTGGATCCCCAGTCGGGGGACGTACAGGACACACCCGATTGATGTTTCTCTCTTACATCGATGCTTCTCTCCCCCTGCCCACCCTTCATCTATCTCTAAAATCAATAAACATATCCTTGGGTAAGGATTTTTTAAAAAATGAGATTCTAGAAGAATCGGTTTACCCTTGATGAGAAATTACTGTCCTGAGCCAGGAGTCCATGAAAAGGCTGAGCTGCAGACACCGCAGACACATCCGGTCAGCCGAGGCTGGGAGCGTGCACAGCAAAGGTCACAGCCACATGCCACACAGAGGCCAAACACGCGGCATGTATTCTGATCAATAACAAAAGGCCAGCCCTGGCTGGTGTAGCTCAGTGGATTGAGCATTGGCTGTGAACCAAAGGGTCACAGGTTCGATTCCCAGTCAGGACACATGCCTGGGTTGTGGGCCAGGTCCCCAGTGGGGGGGTCTACGTGAGAGGTAACTACACACTGATGTTTCTCTCCCTCTGTCTCCCTCCCTTCCCTGCTCTTTAAACAAACAAACAAACAAACAAACAAACAAATAACATCTTTTTAAAAAATAACAAAAGGCCAATTTTCACTCAGATAAAGTTTAAAAAAAAAAAGTCAGGCTCCTAACAATTAGTTGACTCCTAAGCAAGTGTAGATTTCCAGTATTTGAAATTAGTCCATTGGGAAAAAAAACCTGCTATTAATATGAAACCGACTGGAAAAGACATAAGGTTTAAGTGCTGCTCCCTCTTTGGAAAAAGCCAGCTGCCTTCTCCATGTCACGGACACAGAGAGTGGACAGGGCCACAGCAAAGACACAGGGACTTCGCCTGCCTCCACGACAGTGTCAGGGCAACATGCACCACGGCACTTCTGCCACTCAAGGCCAATAGTGGGCCTTCTGGTGGTGGCTTTCTCTCCCCTCAACTGTGTTCAGCCCAAGGCTGGGCATGACCACGGGGCAGAAAACAGCTGGAGGGGGACTCAGTCGTAGAAGAGTCCCATCTGCAGGCCCCTAAACATTCCACAGATCTGAGGCTGCTTCCAGCCCAAGTCTTGTACACATCCTCCTATTTATTAAGAAGTTGCCTCTCCCTGGCTGTTGTGGCTCAGTGGATTGAGTGCCGGCCTGCAAACCCAAAGGTTGCCAGTTTGACTCCCAGTCAGGGCATAGGCCTGGATTGCGGGCCAGGTCCCCAGGTAGAGATGTGCGAGAGGCAACCGATCAATGTATCTACCTCTCGCACGTCGATGTTTCTCTCCCTCTCTCCCTTCTCTCTAAAAATAAAGAAATAAAATCTGAAAAAAAAAAAAAGGAAGAAATTGCCTCAACTGAACACGGGAGGCCACATGAAGACTTTGGTCTTCAACGTGGTGAAGCAACAAGGAGCCAGTGCTGGCAGCAGCCTCACTCCCCGTGTACGCCTGAGTCCCAGGCTAGTCAAGCAAAGGCCAATGGGAGTGAAGGCTACTGAGGTGTGGCCCCACTGAGAACAAGTTCAGGTCACTTGGTTTTGATCGCAAACAGTTCAAACTCCATGAATGACAATCACTTGCCAATTAATTGTTGGAATGGAATGGGCCATCCTGGCCCAACCTTTTAGGACCCTCTACCCGACAGCCTGGTTTGCACGGTCCTTTCCAGCCCCTCAGCTGCCGCCATGACTCTCATCACAGAGTGGATCAGGAGAGCAGAACAAATGTTCTCCTAACCAGTGACTCACCAGGAAGTCTGTTCATGTTGACGCCTTGAGCTGAGAGTCCTATTCCCATGTACCTTCAAAAGAGCACACACAAAGGTTTTGGTTAGCAAATAATTATGCATTTCCATCTTCAAATACTTCTTGGTAAAGGACAGAAAAACAGGAAAAGCAATGCTCTTTTAACATACTAGTGGTTCCTGGAGAAACCTGACATTTTGATTTTCCATGGAGTCATCTCAGTGCCTTAGGCAGCTGAAGAAACAGGAGGTTGTACCTGTAACCAGGAACCACGGGCTTCAGTGTCAAAGAAAAGTTTCCTGAATTCACTGCTTCCAGTCTCATGGTTTCGGGCTCCAGCTAAGGCAGCAGGGTCTATTCCTAAGAAGCGCCTAAAGTAAGGAGCTCAATTCTAGAAAAGCGCTTGGCAGAGCAGTGCAAGATCAATCCCACAGAGACAAGCCGCTCTGCAGCGAGGACCCGGACGTGGAAAGGGTGCAGCCAGGCACGATCTCTACAGGATCTCCAAGACCCCTTGTACAGAGCTTCTTGTCTGGGCCTCTCAAAACTCACTACCCTTGTCCCGTACATCCCCTGGCCTCCCCAACCACCCCAATGGTGAGCCCCCCAGACGCACTCTCTCACCTACCCCACCTATCCCCCTACCCCAGGTGCTGAAACAACAACGCCACCCACAGCCAGGCGGGGCCCATGCTGGGCAACTCTGCCAAAGATACCTCAGTGACACTCGGGAGAAAAAAGACATAGGGTTTTTTTTTCATAAGGCTAAGCCAAAAAAGGAAATGAAAAGGTTTTTTTAGTCTAAATGTTTGTAGTGTTCAAAGAAATAGTGAGGTATTTCCCCAAGAACTTAGGAATAAGAGAATCAAGTCATCACCTTCTAAGAGTAAAATAGTAGAAGCCCGCACGTGATGTCTGATATTAACCACATGTGAATGTCAACAAGCAGTTGAGGGCTGAAGGGTAACTTCATGGTTGCATAACAATGTGAAGGTACTTAATGCCACTGAACTGTGCACTTAAAACTGGCCAAAAGGGGCAGAGCATTTAAGATCTTGCTTCCTGGCAACTACTGTCAGTTTTGCTCAAATAAACTCTTATAAAAATCCAAAATGGCAACTTTCATGTTATGTATATTTTACAATAAAATATATTTTTTAAAGCAGTGACATAGGGTTCTCTTATTTTGACCATTTCCCAAGTGGCTGTACACTTACATTTTGATTATTTTTTTATTTTTTTTAAGGTTTTATTTATTCGACCTTTAGAGAGAGGGGAGGGGAAGGAGAAAAACAGGGAGAAAAACATAAATGTGTGAGAGATACATCAATTGTTTGCTTCTTGCATGCCCCTAACTGGGGACCTAGCCCACAACCCTGACTGCGAATCGAACCAGCAACCTTTTGGTTCGCAGTCTGGTGCTCAACCCACTGAGCCACACCAGCCAGGGCTTGATTATTTTCTATTGTAAGTAATTCTGCAAGGAACCCTTCCACATACATTTCCCTGTGTTGGACTATTTCTTTCCTCTCCCAGCACGTTCCATGCACCCGGGTGCCTGTTTCCTAACACCACCCGAGTCCCCACAACATGGCACTCCCCTCCCTTCTCTGGATGGCCACGCCACTGAGTTTTAGAAGAGCAGCCCCGACCACCCAAATAAAGGATCACGCAGGGAGGAAAGGCTGTGATGCAACCACCTTCTCTGAAACCAGCTACCCCACCATGGACGGCAGGAAGCAGGAGAAGGCACCAGCCAACACATGGCCCTGGTAACTTGGTCAGCAGGGGTTAGAGGAAAGGGGAGAAAGGGGAAAGGAGAGAAGAAGGAACAGACTTCAAAAAGGGACTTCCATGGTTCAAAGGACCTGGAGACTCACAAACTGCCTGCCTACCTCCTGACAGAAGGGGACCTTCAAGGACCATCAGGAGCAGACGCTGTGTAAGCCCAATGGCAGGATTCCCACATTTTCCCAGAAAAACTTTCCCAGGCCAAATAATTAGCTTCCTTACTTTACGTGTTAGAAGCTGCCAAAAGCTGGTCTTCATTCCCTCAATGCCTCAGCTGACTCATCAGCAAATGACCCCAACTACTCTGCAGCCATCAATCTAACACATACAAGTGCAACAGAGCCAGAGGTTTACCTGACTTGGGTGCCAGCCCAACACTCTGCCTTGCCGGGAGGGGCCTGGGCCTCTGCCCGACACCACCTGTGATACAATCCCTGGCTCACAGGCTTCCTGACACTAAGATGAGGCCTTGTGTTTGGAGCTATGTGCTCCTGGGTGACCCTTGACAGCTAAGGCTAATGCAGACAGGGCAAGTCAAGGGCCACCCAGAAAGGGGATGCTTGGTCATCAGCAACAGGTCTCTGGGTCTACGACTTTCCATGGGAACGGGGAACTGCTAAGGCATGTGTGCTCAAAACACAAGTTGCTCAGGCCTCCCCATAGGGGATGCTTCTTTAACCTTTGGCAGCTAGCCCTCAACACCTTCCTATAGGCTCTCTGCCCCACAGGTCAGGTAGTGTTTACTAGCGAATAGCCTGGGAGCTATACATACTCCAGGTTCAACTTGCAAATCCAAGTGGGTGAGCTAAGGACAGAGCAGCCAAGGAGGCCAGTACCCACACTTGGGCGTCATGCTACCGCCAGGTGTCAATGACACCAGGCACCGCCCCACAGGAGCCTACGCTGCTTACCAGGTGCAGTCGGAGCTGAGTCGCTGTTCAAGGGAAATGAATCCCATCTCTTCAAACATCAGGTGACACTAAGTCTTCTCCAAAAACATGATATTCTAAAACTACAAAAAAGATGCAGCCTTCCCTCTTCTAGCAAATCTTCATGCACTTGAAAACTTTCACCTAACCAGTCTGAGATAAGCAGAGAGGGTAAAGCTGACCCCACAAATATACTAAAAAACACTAAATTGTATACTTTAAATGGGTAAATTATATAGAATGTTAAATTACATCTCAATAATACCACACAAACTAGAAATAAAAGGGAACATCTCAACGTAATCAAAGCCATCTATGAAAAGCCTACAGCTAACATCAAAGGTGAAAGACTGAAAATTTATCCTCTAAGATCAAGAACAAGACCGAGATGCCTGTTTTGGCCATTTTTATTCAACAGGGTATTGAAAGTGCTAGCTAAAGCAATTAGACAAGAAAAAAAGGCATTTAAATTGGAAAGGAATAAGTAAAACTATCTGTTCACAGACGGCATGAGCTTACATGCAGAAAACCTTAAAGATTCCACAAAACAACTGTCAGCAAAGACCAGCATACGAAATCAACAAAGTTGTAGGATACAAAATAAACACACAAAAAGTAGTTGTGTTTCTATACACTAACACTGAACAATCTAAAAAAAATTGGGTTGCAGGTTCAGTCCCCGGACAGGCTGTGTTTGAGAGGCAACTGATCAATGTTTCTCTCCCTCTCTCCCTCCTTTCCCTTCCCTTCTCTCTAAAAAGAAATAAGTAAAATTTTTTTAAAAAGAAGTATATCTCATTTTTTACAAATACTGTTAAGATGTCAGTACTACCCAAGAATACATACAGATTCAATGCCATCCACATGGGATCTCAAGGGACACTGAATAGCCATAACAATTTTGAAAAAGAAGAAAAAGTTGGAGGAGTCATACTTTCTGATCTCAAAATTACTACAAATCTATAATAATCAAAACAGTATTGGTATTGGCATAAGGATAAACATATAGACCAATGCAACAGAGTAGAAAGCCCAGAAATAAACCTTCAGATATGTGGCCAGCTGATTTCAACAAAGGTTCCAAAACATTCAACTGGAAAATGATAATGTTCTCAAGGAATGTTGTCAATACAACTGAATACCCACATGCAAAAGAATGAAGTTGAACCCTTACCTTGCATCATATGTAAAATTAACTCAAAACGTGTCAAGGATCTAAATGTAAAACCTAAAACTGTAAAACTCTTGAAGAAAACATATGAAAAAATCTTCCTGACATTGGAATTGGCAAGGATTTCTTTGATATGACAGTCAAAACACAGGCAACAAAAGAAAAAACAGATAAACTGAACTGCACCAAAATTTAAAACTTTTGTATATCAAAGGACATAATCAACAAAGTGAAAAGGCAACTCACAGAATGAGAGAAAACATTTGTAAACCGTGTATCTAATAAGGCTTTAATATCTAGGATATACAAAGAACTCTTACAACTCAACAACAAAAAAGTTGCTCAAAAATGAACAAAGGACTTGAATAGATATTTTTCCAAAGAGATACAAATGGCGACTAACCACATGAAAAGACACCCAACATCACTAATCATTAGGGAAATACAGACAAAACCACAATAAGACACCACTTCACACCCTTTAGGATGGCAATTATTCGAATAAATAAAACAAATGCTGGTGAGGATATAGAGAAATTGCAACCTTTGTGCATTGACGGTGGGAATGTGAAATGGTGCAATCGCTGTGGAAAACAGTATGGCAATTAATTATATAGTAATTACAAGTTTGAAAAATTAAACATAGGCCCTGGCTGGTGTGGCCCAGTGGACCGAGTGCTGGCCTGCAAACTGAGAGGTCGCCAGCCAGGTCCCCAGTCGGGGGCGAGCAAGAGGCAATCGACTGCTTCACACACCAATGTTCTCTCCCTCCCTCTCTCTCCCCCTCCCCCTCTCTCTGAAAATAAACCAATACAATCTTTTCTAAAACATCAAACACAGAATTAGTATATGACCCAGCAATTCCATTTCTGGGTATATACTCAAAAGAACTGAAAGCAGGGACTTGGGCAGATACTTGTACACCCGTACTCATAGCAACGTCATTCACAATAGCCCAAGGGTGGAAGCAACCCAAGCGTCCACTGGATGACTTGATACAAGAGAATGTGGTACATACACAAAGCAAAACATTATTCATTCTAAAAAAGGAAGGAAATCTGACACATTCTGTAACATGGAAGAACCCTGGAGGACATTATGCTAAATGAAACAAGCTAGTTACACCCTGGCAGTTACGCCCCGGCTGGTGTGGCTCAGTGAATTG